ATGCAGCTGCGCTCTGTGAAGGACTAGAACAAGCTTTATCAGGTTTACCTACTCTCTTTGCGGTCTTTGATCCACTAGCTGAAGCAGTGGCTTGCACATTGCTGCAAAATATTCTCAAAATTCAAGAAAAGGGAGATATAATGAGGTTGAAATGTAACAATACAAACCGTTGTATGTGACGATAGTCACTTAAACTTTAGTTGATTTGAAGCAATGAAGAAAAAATAAAGTTGGAACTGGTACATATAAGCTGTCTAAACATGTCGGAGGGAGAACTAAACAACAATTGAGGCCAGAAAGAATGCATGGAGCAGACTGTACATCACTCTCTATCAGAAAATTGAAGACCCAATTGAGAAGAGAACCAATGTTGAAAAAGAGACGAGTTTCTCTCTATCACATCAAAATATCTAATACAACTCTTTATTCCAGTTACCTTTTCTTCTCTCTTTTGTCTCTTCTCAAATCTTTCTCGCTCTTTTATGCATTCTTACACTTCTCAGTCAATAGAAACTAGACAACAGCACACTCTATTTCCTCTAGTCTACACTCTACATCACTCTCTTCAGACACAGCAGCCTAAAAACCCGTTAACCTGCATATAGCAATCCTAAAGGTGGTCAACAGAGCTACGAGATTCGGAACAAGAACAATTTTAATGCAGTTGCCTCTTTATGGAAGATTTTCAGCAGTTCTTTATCAATTACAATCTCCTTTCTGATTATGGAGAAAAAGATGACCAAAATTACAAAAAAGAATTCTTAAACTATGATATATCATTCAGGTATGAGTAACTGAGGGATATTTTAAATTTCTAAGAAGGATTTAGTGCAGTTGTATGGTCCATATATAGTGCACATAACCTTGTCATACTCATCTAAGATGAGCCTGGTTGAGGCAATTGAAGCCTAAATTGAAACTTGCTTTGGAGAGGAAAGTTATGCGGTGGGGATGAAATGAGAAAGGAGGAAAGACGGTAACAAAAGAACCTCAGTCTCAAGCATGTTGGCCCTTCTATTTACTGGTCAGATATATGAAAGAAAAAGAACTTATTGACCCTTTTTCTAGGCATAAATATCTCTTCATCTTCTGCAAAGTTTCAAAACAACTGGCAATTTGGATGGTTATGCATCAGTACATTACAAGCCGTTAGCAACAATAAGGAAAGCAATAGTTAAAAAACCCATACCACAAACACCAAATATGAATCACATGAGTTTCTCAACCAACAGTGCATGGTTAAGAATCAAAGATTTCAATAAAAATAGAAAGGATAAAGTGAAGCATAGTAGAAAAACAAATCATACAGACCTGCCATAATGAGATGACCCCTTTTTTGATTTAAAAGTACTTCGGTCAACCTTATCTTCACCATACCGATCCTTTTCCTTGTAACTATCCTTGAATGAATTTCCATCATTTTTATTTCCAAAACCTCCATAGCGATCACTACTCTGAAAGTTGCCACTGCTACTAAAAGAGGAAGAGCTTGACTTAAATGTTACTCCAGAAGATGACAGTCCAAAGTACCTAAAAGGTAGCATTTCATCATGATCGCGCAACCATGCTATTAGTTACGAGGGGATCTTAAGTAATCTAAAGCAAAGTCAGACACTAAAGCATTTCCTTACTTGTCGCGATTTGCAGAAGCTTTTTCTCTAACCTCTTGTATCTTTTCCTTGTTATTCAATAGTGCCACAATGTTTTCTGCTTTTTTCCTCACATTGATTCCCATATCTTTTCCATTGGGTTCAACATACTCGAAACTTGCGAGAGACTTGAGTAGCAAAAGGAAACAGGAAAACATGTAAATACATGATAAGGAGGCTAAAGACCAAACTCTTTTTAGTATGACTATGAAACAACTGTCACTGACAAAGAAATTTAACATAATGAAACAAAAATACGTACTGAGATCTGATAGGTATGTTCTACAATCTCATCAACTGCGCGTTCAGATCCATGTGCCACCAAATACTCTATAACAGACAACGACTGGTAACAAAATCATTTCACAACTATTAGACCTTAGATATGATTTAAGATACAAAATGTATAGAAAGGAAACTAAATGTAAACAAAATTGACCACCAGAAGCTTGACTTTCAAATTTTTCTACTATTTTCTACAGTTCCTTAATTTTGCAATACACTTAACTACAAGAACTTGATACCATAAAAAGGCATAATACACACCTTATAGACATAACGCCAGTTCTTCCCTGTTTCAGGCAATCTTGACCACAAGACATTCATAACCATCTGACACTCAGAGCTGCAGAATGCACCAGTAATCGACAATTCAACAAATTTACCTTTATGATGAGAACAAATACCAAAATTCATAAGAATTAGCAACTTTATCGTTGAGGTCGTACAATTTTTTTGTGGCCTGAGCTATATCAGCCAATGCAGTACCATGGGGGCCCCAAGGTTCGTCATCCGTAGCATCCAATACCTATTCAAATAAAAAAATATTACATTTTAATCAGATCACAAAGGGGATAGGAGATAAAGAGCATAGGATGAAAATCCTAAGATCAGTAATCAGTCAATGTGGTTAACTTGAGCCGATTAGTGGGAAAACAAAAACTTGATTTTTCCCTTGCTTTTCCTCTTTTCCGGAATTTTTTCTTTTGAAACTAGAAAGTTAACCGTAGAGCAAAGTAAAGTTGTCCCCGTTTGACCTATACATCAAGGGGTCGAGTTGTAGAATTAGCTAATGAGCTTATATGAACAAATGTATGTCATGCACCCTGCTTCCATTCTTCTTTCATCTGTAAGACACATGCTACCTTTTTTAATGGTGGGTGCACGGATACTAACCAGACCCCATTCGTGGAATTACACCACCTATGTTTTTGTTGGTACATGGACCCTTCACACTCAACGACTTAAAATCCTGGAAAAAATTCTTAATTTCTTGGTTATGCGGCAAATGTGTATTCTACAACTATGTTGCTCAGACCCTTCAAAATTGTTACCACACCCGTTTTGAATTCTCCAAAGTCCAAAATCCACTACTTTTGAAGTATCAAACACGCATTCAACAGTCTGAACAACCTTGTAATCTACAAGACTAGACTACAACAATACATGCTATAAAATAAAAAAAAAAAACTGAAAGCTGACATAATAAATTTCTAAGCTTTTTTTACCTTCTGCTCGATCTCTGGAACCTGTAACACTTTCAAATTAACCTCCCTCTTTCTGCAAAACACAGTATAAAACTTACAAAGATTAAAAAAAAAAATCTGCAAAATTATTCACCAAAATGAAATTAAAAACACGAGAAATTAAAAGGGTAAAAGGGAAAAAGGGGTTACATTTCGCGAACCGTTTGATCGAATACCTTCATGAAATCCATTGTTCGATCTGCAAATCAACAAAATTCAATCAAAAAATTAAGCTTTAAATTCGTAAAAATATGCAATCGAAACTGAAAAAAAAATTGAATCTTTTGAATATATATATATATATATATGTAATTTCGTAATTTGGATGAAAAAAGATATCTGCAATCGATGAGATCTCTAGAAATCTTACAATGCTTAAACAAAGATGATGAAGAAAAAAGACGAAGTTCGTTATGAATTTTTTACTTCTATTTTGTTCTTTTATATTTTTTATTGTGATATATATACAAATAATAAATAAATTCTTTAATATTCAATTCAAAGAGCTCGGTGAGTGACGTGTGAGTTAGACGCATAATAAAGAGATGATATATGAATTAGACGCATAATAAAAGTGTTAAACGAGTTAGATGCACGATAAGGGGTGTGATTAAAATGATGATGATAATAATAATAATAGTATATTTAGTATATTTTATAAGTGATATTGTGCGAGAAGGGATTCGATTTACCGATTTATAACAATAATAATAATGTATTTTACATGTGATGGTTGATAAAAGTATTGTATATATTTGATATATTTTATGAATGATATTGTGCGAGAAGGAATTCAATCTATCGATCATAACAATGATAATAATGTATGTAGTGTATTTTACATGTAATTTTCGATAAATTATTGTATTTTATTTTGTAAAGATAAAATAAAAAGTTAAAATTTGATAGACGATTGACTCAAGTAATACAATATAAACAAAAAGAAATAATTAAAAAAGGAAATACATATATTGAGAAAAACATGTGTATGAGAATAATAATAACTAATTAGATAATCCAGATAAGAATTTAGTTGAATCTCCTTAATTGATAGATCGCATATTTAATACAAAGTCAAAATTATTTTACGTATATGCATAAATATTGAATATCTTTGATTTCTTTTTATATATTTACGACTTGCTATATATTTTTAATATTATTAGTTTAAAATATTGACTTGACATTCTGATTAAATACATGTCATAAATTTCAATACATTGCATACAAAAACTCAAATAACAGAAATAATCTATAAAAATTAATCTATTTATGAAATTTCAAATCATACGCCTTTAACATTGTGATTTCTCTATTTGAAATGATCTCAATATTGAAGGAAAATATAAATTAAAAAGTATATATTTTGTGATAATAAACAAATTTAATGTCAAATTATAAATCATTCATGAATGTGCAACGATATACAAATGAGACTATTTCTTTGATCCTTTTTTATTAAGAGGCTTTAATTTTGAATACGTTTTCCTCCGATCAAATTACGAATTTTGAATTAATCAAGCTCGTGATCATATGCAGGTTAAATAAGAAAACAAAATAAATTTATTTTTGTGAAGTTAGTCCAAAATCTATTTAAATAAAATAAAAGAATTATATAAATATCAAATCCTACTCCTATTTAGAATATAATCTTTTTATAATATAACTACACACACATCAAAATGTAAAATTATAAATCACTCTTAGAGGTTTTTGTTTCAAACGCATTTTCTCGAAATGAATCTTACATGACGTGAATCAATTTTTTTTTTTTGAGTTTAACCACAAATTCTATCTAAATAAAAAATAAATAAATCTTATTTGTCTGTGATAGAAGTTTAATCAACGGCCTGTTATAGGTTTACACTCTTTTCTCCTTCTCCAAATACAAGAAATCTTCAAAAGTCCCAATATTTTAATCTCCATAAATGAAATAAAAATAATTAAATTTCTACAAAAATCATCAATCGATTGATCAATTTACTCTTCAATACGTCAATTTTTTCCCAGGTTAGGTGATGTATTCTACTGCCAATGTAGAAGATTGTTGGATTGGGAAAAAGATTAGATTTTTTTCATATGAATTCAAGATTTTTATGCCCATTTTGTTGATTGATTGTTTTAGTTAGTGCGTTGTGAAATTTTGGAGTTTTTGTTTCAGGGATTGTGTAATTTTGAGTATTTTGGAGTTTTTGTTGGACCCAATTGATTTGGGGTTGAGGGGTAGTTGATTGATCGAATTCTGGAGATTTTGCTGACTCGTATTGTTGATTGATTTTTTTAGTTAATGGGTGTGAAAGTTCGATTTTTTGTTGCAGTACTTGTATAATTTTGATTATTTTGGCTAATGGGTGTGAAATTTTCGAGTTTTTGTTGCAGTAATTGTATGATTTTGAAGTTTTTGTTAGACTCAATGGATTTAGGATTGAGGGGTAGTTGATTGATTGGATTTTGAAGATTTCGCTGACCCATTTATGGCTTGATTATTTCAGCTAATGGATGTGAAAGTTTTGCTTCTTTTTTTTGCATGATTAATTTTGAAGATTTTGTTGGACCCAGTGGATTTGGGGATTGAGGGGTAGTTGATTGACAGAACTTTGAAGATTGCTGATCTTTCAGATTGATTATTTTAGCTGACGGGTGTGAAATTTCCGATTTTTTGTTGCAGGAATTGTATAATTTTGAAGTTCTTTTTGGGACCCAATTGATTCGGGATTGAGGAGTAGTTGATTGATTGTTTGGTGAGTTGAACTGTGAATATTTTTGCTGCAACCAATTCCTGTGCAAAATTGAAAATGTTTAAGCGATTACTTGGAAAACCCAAACAAGAAACAAATGCTCTAGCAACATTAGACAAGTTAAATGAGGTATGATCCTGTTTAACTGTTTTCTTTGAAATTTACTTCTATAGAATGGAATGAATGTAATGGAATCAATAAAGAGGATTCATATAGCCAATCTCAACTAACTTGGAATTAAGGTCACTTTGATAGTCGACTTATTTTTCTCTTTTGAGACAACTAAATTTATAGTTGGGAGGCATCATAGAGGATTCATATAAGCATCCGAATTTGTGATTGAAGCTTGGTTGATGAAATATCTTTTTGGGGTCAACTAATTCATGGTTGGTGATACAAGGATCCAAACTTTCTGATGGTGAAAAAGAGAAAGAAAAAACATCATGGTTGGTGATATAAGGATCCAAACTTTCTGATGGTGAAAAAGAGAAAGAAAAAACATCATGGTTGGGAGGCATTATATGGACTCTAGTGAATTAAAATTATGGTCTTTCTTTGAAGAGTTTATGCAGAGTGTTTGTCATATCTCCGGTTTCAAGGCAACTATGACACAAACTGGCAATACTGTTTGAATAACTAATAGCATGTATAATATGCATAAAGGAACTTCTCTTTCCAGAACATCTGGGAAGAAAGTTAAGGGTTCATTTATTTCTTTTAGTCTAAATGCGTTAAAGATTGTCCATTCTTTTATTGAGAGTGCTCTGATAAACAGATGCTTTTCTTTTATAATTTTCACATTTTAAATCATATTCAGTTTGTAGACAGGCTGATGCAGTCCTATAATCGTTTCACTTCCCAAAACTGTAGAACATGATTTTTCCTGTATTTCTTTCCCCTGTAAAGCTGAACATGAATCTCGTCATAATTAAGGATACAAAATAAAGTTTTAGTCGGAAGCTGTGGGACATTGTCTTAATGCAAACTAAATTCATCATTTTTTTGGTCTATTTGCAATAAATATTGTTTGGTGATATTTTTTCATGTTAATCATTCTGCATACGAGGTTCAGCCCATTTTAGTGAGTCTCAATAAGACACAGGTGGCTTATGGATACTTTTCTAGATGCATCGTGTCATACTTGTGCTCAAGTCTTCGCAAAGACCTTCAGTTATTCGTGTTTAGTGTCTGTTGAATTAATTAGCTGTGTTAAAAATTTATCAAGTAAATTTAAATAGCTTCTGTTTGACTTTTGGTTATGCTGTACAGACGCTTGAAATGCTTGAGAAAAAGGAGTCAGTTTTATTGAAGAAGGCTACTGCTGAGGTTGAAAGAGCAAAGGAATTTACTAGAGCAAAAAACAAAAGGGGTATGATATCCTGAAAATCATTTGTATGAAAAGGCTAGTTTTTCATATGTAGTTCCCTTGGTCAGAATATGTTTACATTAATATTTCTACAGTTGTATTAAGTGTCCTGATTTTTCTCCATTTACTTTATTATCACACACTTAATAATGGGATTTTCTACTAGAAGAATCTTTTCTTACTTGTGTGGGTGAACTGTTGGATTGAGATATATTTGTATCATCTCGGGAATCATGTAATGTTGTTTAACTTCATATTTTGTGTTTGATTATGTTGGTTCTCTATTGTGTACCTGCAAGTTTAACATTGAAACATCAATCTATCAATACTAAAAAAATCATAGGATAGTTTTTATTTGGCATTTCCATTATTAGTTGAAACATCAGTTTATAAATAGTGAAGAAATCTAGGATAGTTTTTATTTGGTACTTCAATTATATGTCTACCGCAGAAAAGGTAAAAAAGAAAAATATTACAAGGAGTAAATGTTGTTGCTATATTAAGGTAAATCCAAAAGTCACGGTTGTGATTTTTCTTTTAAAAAATAAATCACTGTTGTGAATTGTCATCTCATATTTACCTTTCTCATTGAGCTTTTCGGGTGATTTCCTTTTGGCAGTGTTGGGTTTTTTGGGGGAGGGGTTCACGAGTCTGTAGGTGTATCCTACAAGGTTCTTATTTCCACTTATTTGTAGGGAAGAGTGAAAATTCAAAAGAAAATTTAATAATTAATGCTTCTGAGAGACTTTTTCTTTGGTTGTTAATGGTCAATGTAAGATGGAAACAGTTTAGGCCTTTTTTTCCTTGTAATTAGGATAATTGTCTTTTCTTGATAACTAGCATGCATCGCTACTATACTATTAAATACTTGAAAATACATGTCTGACTATTTTATTGTGTTAAATGCAATGACCAGTTTTTAAATATGCTTGTGCTATTTTCTTGGGATGACCGGAAAAGTAATTTGATATTTTACAACTAGCGTAAGCGTTGGATTTGGTTCCATTTGGAAACTTTATTATCTACTAACCTTCTCAGTGTTTACCTTATAATACTATTATTATAACAAATTCCATGTAAGAAATCTGTATAAGTTAAAAGATTCCCTTGTTGACAAATTCACCATGGATGAACATCCTATGGGAAATTGAGTTTCAGCCGAAAACACAAGGGAAATTACTTTCAGTTTTCGGGCTTTACTGTTGGTCTATTATATGCCATAGAAGCTCATAAATTCTTGCTTTGCAAATTGCAACAGTCTTTAAGTCTTGGCTGATCTGGTTAATGTCTGGAACTTCTTGTGTTTTTGCTTTACCATATGACTTTTCCAACATAAAGACCCGGAGAAAAAAAGGATGTTTTGGCTTCTCCTGGTTAGAGGAAATCAATTTGGATAGAGTAAGCTTTTATCTTTGTGGATCACACATATATTCCTCGATACTTGTACTCCCTCCGTTCCATAATAGTCCACTTTTCCCTTTACATGCCCCTTAATAAATCATAAATAAGAAAGGTATTTTTACTAATTTACCCTTTACTCTTTTTAATACTGTCTTATCTATCAATACCAAGATTAGTAATGGAGGAACATTTTTGGAGCTTTACAATATTTATACTTTCAAAAGGAATTAATTTTAAAGGCAAAATGGAATTTTTAAAATTAATTTTATCTTGGTTTTGTAAATGGACAAGTAATTTGGGACCGATATATTTAGTAATATGGGACAAAGGGAGTAGTAATTTGAGCAAAATACTAAGTGAATATTATGGTTTTGCCATCTTTTACTTCTTTTCGGCAACGTTTTTGATGAATTGTTTGTTGTATTTTCAGCTGCAATACAATGTTTGAAAAGAAAAAGGCTCTATGAACAGCAAGTCGAACAGCTTGGAAATTTCCAATTGCGTATCCATGATCAGGTGCGCTTGTGTTCTGCTAGATCTCATAATCTTTGCACATATTTTGTGTCATAACATCACCATATAAGCATAGGCATTTCGTTGGATTTGGGTTTCAGATGATACTGCTCGAAGGTGCAAAAGCCACAACAGAAACCGTTGATGCTCTTAGAACTGGAGCAGCTGCAATGAAAGCCATGCAGAAGGCAACGTAAGTTGTATATGCACTATGTTGCTGCAGTATCTTTAGCTCTCTGTTGTTTAGTATAGCTACATAGCTTTTGCCCTGAAAGACTTCCTAGTTCAGAATACAAAATGTTCAAATGATATATAAGAGGTCTCCAATCCAAGGCTTTGGCTGATACTGGCTACCGCATCAAGGTATCATATGTCCTTGTAGTCTTCTTTGTGCATTACATGTAAAAGATGCATCCTGTCACAATCGAGTAAGTTTAGAGGCTTGAACCGTAATCGTAATGGCTGGGATGCCACTTTAATTGCGTGGCTTAAATTCTGTAGTACTTCTATCTTCCAATTATTAGTAGTAGAGGTACAATCAAGCTTTCTACACAAAAGCATGATTACAGTTGCGTGAATCACTCGCATCTACGCAGTGTTGCTCTTTGTGTTATCCAGATTTTTTCATTGCATCAAGGTCAAACTCAATATATGCTAAAAATTAAATTCTTCTTTTTGTTATGGTGGGGTGTCTTTTGTTAAATGGAGTTCTTGTCTGATATTATCTAGTTTTTCTGTTCAGGAACATTGACGATGTTGACAAAACAATGGATGAAATTAATGAGCAGACTGAGAACATGAAAATGATTCAGGAAGCATTGTCTACACCAATTGGTGCAGCCGCTGATTTTGATGAAGTATTTACTTGGATAATTCTTTGTTTTTATAATACCTCCTCTCTGTGTCTGGACAATAATTCATATCAATTTTTTGTAGGATGAGTTAGAGGCAGAACTTGAAGAACTGGAAGGAGCTGAGTTGGAGGAACAACTCCTTCAGCCTGCTACTGCTGCCCCTTCTGCACCTATTCATATGCCTGCTGGTAGGCAACAAGTGCGTCCTGCTGCCCAACACAGCAGAACGGAAGAAGATGAACTTGCTGCTTTGCAGGCTGAAATGGCTCTTTGACGAGGTCATTTTCTTGTTCTCTATTTCTTGTGATTACGGGTAAGTATTTGAGACTAGGAACACTACTAGTGCTATTTTCGTTTGGTCAATTATAAACAAAACATGCTACACTTATCTAGTTTTGTAATTGTTTGAAGGAAAAGAATGTTCCAAGTAAAACCTAGTGTAAGATGAGTTGTGCATTACAAACCTTTTTACAAGTTGTAGGTTAAACAAGATTAAATCAAAACGTCTAGTTCATGTTCCCGCACTTTCACATCCCTTGATTTTCGCTCAGAAGTTAATCAAGTGGTGCCTAGATATGAAACGAGTACAGTCAGAGTCATCAGATACCTTGTCATTTGCTTGTTTACTTAGCTAGTTTGCTTCCTTCCCTTCCCCCCTGTTCTTCCTCAACACTTGGAAACACTACTAAGGGGAAGGGAAAAGGGACCTTGACAACCACCTTAAGGGAATGTAGACTAAAAAGAACTTAGAAAAGATCTCATGTTCTTTACATGGACAAATACATCAACAAAGTTATGTAAATGACACCAAACTCAATTCTTATTTGATTCATTTTTTCCCCAATGGATTTGATATTCATGATGCAGCTGATATCGTGTTGTTTCAACTGATACGTACTTGTCTGGTCGTCTTTGAAGTTTCTGACTGTTTCATTTGTGGTGTGTTTTGCAGTGATAATCGCCGAATAAAGAATGCTGTAAAGATCAAATGTACTCTCTTTGAATTCTTGATGTGCTGCAATGCAGCCTTAGCTTACAAGTATAACTGTATAGATTGCAGGAGTTGATTTATTATTTCTTGTGAAAGTTGAAATGGGAAGAGTTTTGCTACTTTTACATGAAATTTCATTGTTTAAATTGTACAAAATATCTCTTCTATCAACATTGAAGTGCATTTTTTGTGTTTAAATTAGTTCATTTACATCTCAGACTATTTGGTATCTATTATTTTCTACCAGTATATGTATGGAAGTTTTTCGCTTATTAAGATTTAGGCGATGAAAAGATATTATATGTGTCATTGTATAAACGGAGATCACACCTTCATTTCATCGGGTATCTATTACCTTTCATTGACACAAATATATTTATGATCTTTCTACTTCTAATCAAAGTTTTTTCGCTTATTAAGATCTAGTCGATGAAAAAATATTATATGTGTCATTGTATAAACGGAGATTACACCTTCATTTTATCGGGTATCTGTTACCTTTCATTTTATGTATGATTTTTCTACTTCTAATCAAAGGTTTTAAGTTAGGTTCAAGTAAGAATATGATTTTTCTTTTTAATTTTTATACGAATAGCATCAAAGATTCTATTTATTAAAGAGGTCCGTTGAAATACTCATATTATTCTGCTTTGACATAAAAAAAAATTGAAATTATCTTTCTTACTACAAAGCGTCTTATTTTTTCAAATAAGATTAACATAAAAAAAGAAATTATCTTTCTTTTTCTACGATTAGTCTGTCTTCTCAAATAACACTAACTTGTTATCAATATGTGAGTCCCACACACGTTATACACAAACCAATGTACTTCACCGTAACTAATGGTGAAAACCTTATCATTGTTAACTATTTGGACCAAATCAACGTATTCAATCACAACCAAGTAATTAACAAATGAAGTAAGAATGTACATTTGTTAACCATAAAGAAAAATATAAAAATGCATATAATACAAATTATTTAATTAAATTGATATGAACATAAATGCAAGTAAATTTTTATAGTAAGAAAAAGCACGGTTATTTGATCGGGAACAAGTGATCCTTATAATTAATTATTTTAACATACATTATTTCAGTATATGTATGAGATAATTTATTTTATTACTAAAATATAAATTGTGAAATAATTTATCTTTGGACAACTTTATATCTCAAACCACACGTTGGACTTTAATTCGTGAATTTATAATGATCGTCGTATTCTGCATGCTGAATCTTCTACTATTTTATGTTCTTTCGAAAGTGTGCTAATTTTTATGTTGTACGAAGCTCAGTATCTTCTATTCCTTGGGAAAAAGCCTTTCTCCTCAGGAGCTTTATCCTACATCGTATCTTTTAAAATGATTATACTTTATATCTCACACAAAATGATAGTTAGAACCTTTAGATATCAACTCTCAAATCAATGAAACATGCAATTTTTCCCTTTTTTTTTCACACTCTTGACAATTAGTTTTTTATTTTATTTCTCAATCGATATTAATTGATACTTTAAGATTAGATTAATCTAAATTTATCTGAAAATATCACTTTGAGAGATGAAATATTTTGTTTTATTAGAGACGATTCTATATTCACAGCACGATTTTATATATAGGTAGAACACTTACTACTCAAACCGTCAATATGAAAAAAAACTCTCACACTTACTACTCAAATCGTCAATATGAAAAAAACTCTCTTTGGAACTCCACCCAAGAATGAATCGTGCACAATTGAAAAACATTTACTAACAAAAACGATTTCATATTTTTAAAAAATATTTATCAGTTTATCGCGATTGCTGAAATATAATAATATTATACTTGAATTATTAGTTAATTCTGCACCAAACACTGAAAAACAGAGGAAATTTTTTGAAAAGGACCATTCCCAATTCACATTAAAGAAAACAGAGTCATCACAGTAGGCGGCAGCTTTAAATCAACGCAACTTCTAGAAAAACCCATCAATTTATCTCCATCTTTTCACAGATCTTGAACCAAACTTAGTAGCAGCAGCAGCAGCGGAAGTAGTAGTAGAAGAAGAAGATGTCGTGGCAAACGTATGTTGATGATCATTTGATGTGTGATATTGAAGGTAATCATCTCACTTCTGCTGCTATCATCGGTCAGGATGGTTCCGTTTGGGCTCAATCTGCTAATTTTCCTCAGGTTTTGCTTCATACCCACTTCTTATCTTGGTTCAATTTTACTTGGGTTTACGTTTAGTTTGGTCAAAATCCAGAATTTTGAAGTTGATATGTATCACTAGAGGTAAAGATAGTATTTTTAGTTTATGGGTCTTGAATCACTATCTCTTTTGCTTACTGTGTTTGTGGATAAATAATTATAAATACAGGGATTGAACCAAAAGCGTAGCTTTAAGACCTGCACCTATTACTCCTTCGGTCTGAATTTAAGTGTCTTAATTTGATCGAGCACAAAGTTAAAAGAAATAAAGGTTAGACTTTTGAATTTTTGTGGTCTTAAATTAAAGACGCCTAAGAGATACTCTTTTTGGATAAACCAAAATGAAAGTTAGACATGTAAATTGGGACGTTGGGAGTATTTCTTTTAGATAGTTGCAAACTTAGTAGGCGTTTGGGCATGAATATTGAGTGATATTTGATGTTGAAGTTGAAAAATGGTTATTTGGAAGTTCCGAGTTGTGATTGGACATGCATTTCACTTATAATTTTTTTAAAAAGTTTTGTGAGTAGGAAAAAGATTTTTACGTGAAATTTTCGTTCTTAGAAAACTAATCAAAGAACTACTCTAATGTATAACCAAACAATGTTTTGAAAATAGTTTTTTGAGAAAAAGGATAAATTTGAATAATTAAGAATCGTTTCGTTATGCATAGATTCAAGCAGTGGGTAGTGGATGACTGACTGTGGGTGTATTAGCATCCACTATTACAAATCTTGAATCTTTCTATGTAATTGGTCAAAGGTTTAATTTTTACGGGGTGTATTAGCTCTTATGGGGACCTTAGTCATTAATCCAAATATTCAAGGTCAGAGTGTCCCCAACAGGCTGCTCAGTTGATGCAGTTTACTGTCAGCGTGTACTGGTCCACATTGGTCCCTGTAATAGCTTGGTAGAAGTTGATATTTTCATCTAAAGACAGTACAAGAAGTTGATATCTCCCCGTATGACTTGTCTTTATGCAAACCTGGTATTTTGCCACGGTCAATAAATAGGAAAACTACTGATTTAGCATGAGTTGGCAATCGAATTGTAGTATACACTTGTAGAAAAAGACCTGAATATTGTTATTTCTTAAGCTTTTCATTTGTGCTTGTGTTTAAATTGCATGTTAAAAATTGGATTTTTAATTATGAATTTGATAGTTTGGTGGATGTATAAGGTCTTTTGGTGTGAGTATCTTTTTTCATGGTTCATACTAAGTTAATAAATTTCTTCATTTACTAAACTATTCAATGTCATTCCTGTGTGCGAAGGCTTGTTGGAAGCAATGTAGAGTGACACTGACAACAAACTAACTTGGTGAGCTTTTCATTGATGGTGTTCTTTTTTTGGCAGTTTAAACCAGAAGAAATAACAGCCATAATGAATGACTTTGCTGAACCTGGAACACTTGCTCCAACTGGTTTACATCTTGGGGGAACAAAGTATATGGTGATTCAAGGGGAGGCAGGAGCTGTTATACGAGGCAAGAAGGTACGAGACCCTGGTTTCCTACTATTGCCTTGCAAGTAGTCTTCTTGTGAAGTAATGAGTATCTTTAATCTAAACATGGCACAAGTCTCAGGTTTGAACCCCGAGAATAAAAAAAGTTTTGTATCCTTGTCCAAAAAAAAAGTTGTCATGAACTCTCACTTGAACCTTTTTGAGATGCTCAAATAAGCTTAACTTTTGTGGCAGTTTATGCTAATATTGTTGGTACAAAAACACTTTTTTTCTTTTTATTATTACCTCTCCCCATAAGATGATCCACTCGTTTCAACTTAGATCTGTGAAGACCAATTCAAATAAATATTGTTGAATTGTGTGGCCATCTTATTAAGTGGCTAGAGAGAGCAAACTTTTATTTACATAATTATGTCTCAGCACCCTCCCTCATGTGTGTATCTGATCCTTTTTCATAGCTCAAACACATGGAAATGCTTCTCGTCAATGAGTGACAGTATTTGAACTTACGACCTCTGCCGGTGCGGATACCATGTTGGAAATGTGTGACCATCTAATATAAAGTTTGAATTGTTAGAGAACACACTTTTGTTTTCTTAATTATTTCTGAACAGAGACCATTAAAGTGTCAATCTTCTCTGCTGACATTTTCCCTGCTGTAATCCATGAAAGTAGATTACACAATGCGTAAACGAGATACTGGAATTTAGCTCAGATTATGTGATGAAGCCCCCTCATGACAACACTTGACCTTCTATAATTTGTCATCCTGACTAGGTCCTGCATATTTTCAGGGTGCCGGTGGTATCACTGTTAAGAAGACTAACCAGGCGTTGATCATTGGAATATATGACGAGCCGATGACTCCTGGCCAGTGTAATATGATTGTTGAAAGGTTGGGTGACTATATCATTGAACAGGGTCTCTAGGCATGTTGGTAAGTTGACCTCTTAACCTCTTTTTCATCCTTGGTATCCTTTGTGAAGAATTAACCCAAGTAGTGGTCCATTCAATCGCTTAAACTAAAAATAGTTGCGGATGTATAATATGTATCTAACCATGTATAATCTACATATACCGGCTCAGAAAAGTAAATAGTGAATCCGACCAGCTATTCTCTCTTTATACCTTGCTTCTTTTCTTTGGTGTTTTTTTACCAAGCTTATACTAAGTTAATTTTTTTTTTGCAGTGTATTCATATCATACATAATTGAGGCCATGAAGAAGTGTTGTGTGCTGTAAAGGGGAGAATATCAATCTCTCCTGTGTATCAACTATGCTGTCATTTTGTGTTTCCTTGTGAGCTTTTGTCATTGACTTATTGGTTGGTTATAACTTATATATAATGGAATGGCTTGTATTTGGATATTTGATCTTTGATTTAGATTGACATTTTTGGTAATCTACAGAACATGAATACACAGTATAATCTACGAGCTCAATAGAATCCAGTAGTTTGCTCTGTATATATACAATGTATACACATATGTTTACACAAATGTCAATTGACTTGGCAACATTTTGAATTCATAAAGTTGAATCTTAAAACACTTCTACCCCTTTTATGAAATGGGCAAAATATGGAAGCTTTTGGCAAAATAAAAACTTACCTCTAGTTGAATTTTACCATATAAAACTTCCTATGTCTGAATAAAAGCACTGATGTGTTAATTCGAGTTATTATAGCAAAGTAATTTATTTAAAATGAATATATATATATATATATATATATATTAATTAATCATATGATTAAGTGATAGTTTTATAAATTTAAATACAAATCATATATTTATTGATTTGATGTATTAGACTTAGTGCAAATAATATCTTACCATCAACTTTTGCTCGTGATAAAATTCACAACAATAAGTTCATGACATTTTAGTTCTTGGGAAATCATATTAATCATAGCTAGAGATACAAATGAATAAATAAATATTAAACAAAACAAAACAAATAGGATAGTAGAATAATAATTTGTTGGACATAAACGAATACTATGGGGTGTTAAATAAATATACATTATTGTTATTTGATATTCATTTTGAAGCTCGACTAATTCAGATTCACATTATGAAGTCACTCATGAGAAATGTTTTATATTAGTCTCATTAGATCATATATCTTTTTCTGCTATATTCAGTCTCCAAATAATGTAAGGACTTAAATTGAAATATTACACAAAGATGGTTATTAAATTATTAGCGCCGCATAAAATTATTTCCCTTTTAGAGTGGTTATTAATGTGAAAAAGAAAAACTTTGTTATAACTATGTATTCATAGAGTTGGAAATAGTAAAATAAGAAATTAAAAAATTTCGTTGAAATTGTTTGTTAAATTTTTTTCGAAAAAACTAATAAAAATTTTTCTCTCTATCACAATAATATTCATGTTTACTATCAACGACTATTTCATCCTCAAAAATCGAAGAAAAAACAATGGTGAAACTCCACCATACTACTTCAAAAATGAAGCAAATATTGATTATAAGTTTGTGAATCTAAAGTGATTATAATTAATTAATAAACAAAACCATCATAAAGGGAAAACATTTTAAATAATTTGATTAATAAAAGAACTTTTCCTTTTCATAAATAAAATTAAAAATAGAAAAAAAGTCAAATTAGTTTCAATTAATTGATCTTTTTGCCCCCTATATATATATATATATGAAAGACCAACAAAGAGTAAAGCTGTGATTCCAGTCCAAAACGGTTCTACGGCGGCATTTTCTCTCTTTCTCCCGCCACAATCACCGCTGCTTCTCATCTCCGATCATCCGCGTAACGACGGCAAGTTCTTCATCTCCGCCGTACTAAGGTGAATGTGAAACAGTTTACTGATCGACTCGTTTTCTCCACTCACATTTGCCTCTTTTCTCCTGAATTCTATCCATTTCATAATATTATACACACAGATGTAACAGTAGATTTCTTCTCTCTGTAAGTGTAATTGTTTCTGTTTTCGCTGTAGATTACTAGAACTAGATGTGTTATTTATGCTTTAATTTGTATTTATCGCTCTAGTTTACTAGTTTTGGATGTTGTTTTGGTAATAGAGTAATGTAGCACTCAAATTGTTCTGCAGTTCATAATACGCACTCATATAGCTATTGATATTCTTCTCTTCGAATTTTCGGTGTATATTAGTGATATAAATGTAGCTGTTCATTATGTTTTTTGTTTCTATTTTGGCGTAGATTACTAGATTTGAGGCTGTGATTGATCTTCTCTGTTACTCGTTTTAGTGATGGAATAAATTTAGTACTCAATTTTCATAATATGCACTCATATAGCTATTGATATTTCTTTTCTTTGAATTTTCGGTGTATATAAGTACTGTATATGTTGCTGTATGTTTTTTGTTTTTATTTTCGCTGTAGTTTACTAGATTTGAAGCTGTGATTGATCTTCGTTGTTACTTGTTTTGGTGATGGAGTAATGTAGCATTCAATTTCTTCTGAAGTTCATAATACGCACTCATATAGCTATTGATATTTTCTTCTTCACAATTTTCGGTGTATATTACTTCTATATATGTAGCTGTACAGTATGTTTTTTGTTTTTATTTTCACTGTCGATTACTACTAGATTTGAGGTTGTGCTTGATCTTCTCTGTTACTTATTTTAGTGATGTAATAATGTAGCACTCAATTACTTATGAAGTTCATAATGTGCACTCATATAGTTGTTGATATTTTTTCCTTTCAATTTTTGGTGTATATTATGACTATTTATGTAGCGGTACATTATGTTTTTATTTTGGCTGTAGATTACTAGATTTGAGGCTGTGCTTGATCTTCTCTGGTACTCGTTTTGGTCATGGAATAATGTAGCACTGAATTTTTTCTGAAGTTCATGACACACACATATGGTTATTGATATTTTTTGTTCATCTTTTCCCTGTATAATACTAGATATGTAGCTGTAAATATCTTTGTGTGTTTCTGTGTGTAATTATTTATGTTTTTGTTTCTATTCTTTGGTGTAGATTACTAGATTTGGATGTGGTTGGTCTTCTCTATTCCTTGTTTTGGTGATGGAATAGTGTAGCATTCCATTTCTTCCGAACTTCCTGTTACACACACACATGTAGCATTCCATTTCTTCCGAACTTCCTGTTACACACACACATGTAGCATTCCATTTCTTCCGAACTTCCTGTTACACACACACACACATAGTTATTGATACTTTTTCCTCACTTCTTTGCTATATGTTTCTAGAGACGTAGCTTTGATTTGGTTTGTAAGCTCAGTGTTGTGGTGATGGAATAATTCAGAGCTTCATTTCTTCTGAAGTATGTCTATGGTTGTATTCATTTGCTGAAGTTTAGGTCAAGAGATGTTGCCTTTTAATGTTAATTTTTGAATGCTTCAAGTATTTTCTTGATTTGTTGTTTATGCTGATTCCTTTTTTACTGAATTTTGGTGTTGTTAGAGCTGACAGCATGTTGGTTAATCGGAGATTTCTGCTTTGATTTCTTATGTGTATTACTGTGGTTTTGGTTTTGTAAACTTAGTGATGTGACCTTTGAAAAGAATAGTTAGGTCCAAAGTCCATTTGACATGGACCTTGGGCCATGTACCTTGCTCACGCTTACATTAACGTGAAAATATGGCTATGTTACTAGTCAGTAGAGTGTACACTATCTTTAGGATAATTTTTTCTTGTTAAGCTGGACAATAGTATTTTATTTATTTCCTCTTTTATGACTGAGTTTCTTATCTATTTATCTTGCTTCTCTTTTCAGGGATTCATCCATATTGACCTAGATGGACCAGGTAACAGAGTATTTCTCTGTATCTTTGTCACTCCTTATGTACTCTATGCTTCTTTGGATGGTAACATCGGGGGTACTTGCAGTATGAAAAAATTGGGAAGATTGGGGAAGGAACATATGGTGTAGTGTACAAGGCCTTCGTTCGTGAAACCAAGGAAATCGTTGCTCTAAAAAAAATACGGCTGGAACAAGAAGATGAGGGAGTGCCTAGCACAGCTATAAGAGAAATTTCTCTTTTAAAAGAGATGCAGCACGGAAATATTGTGAGGTAAGATATGGTCTTTATTCTTTATTTATAACCGATATGAACTATATAATTGTGATTGCAAGCAATTTTGCTTTCCTGTGATTATAATATCAATGTGATGCAAGTTATAACGGAAACCTAATGCACGTGTCTACTTGCCCTCCATATCAGTAAATTCACGTTTGCTGTTTTGGAGCAGTAATGTTATTTGAACTACACTGGGTATTTATCCAGTTTTTACCCCCTTCCTTCACTTTGTTATTTTTTAAAATTTAAAAGAAAGCATCTTTACAGTTGCAAGAATTAAAGAACCTGATGTATAATGATCACGTTGGTTTTGAAATAAATTCTAGCAGATGTTAGTACTTACATTGATACAAATAGGAAGCTCAAAAGGTGATATACAAGTTCTAGAAAAGCTTTCGCAGAGACTTTATAACTCATTAATAAATTATTCACGTTGATACAGTCTTTCTTTAATACAACAAATATTATTGTGTTTATATCTCCTAAAATATTTATTATAATTGTATTTACTTTATATTTAATAAATTAGATATTTTTAATATTTTGATATAGTGTAGGGGTGAAATGGTAATCAAGTATTCACTTTGGAGCTTTCCACTTGTAGTATTACTAGAATCTGGGTGTGTACTCCATAACAATGAGTATGAACTAGTAAAAAGTCACATAATTTTTTTTGAAATTGTATTTGAGTTATAATTAGTGATCAATCTATCAAGTTGAATGACTTTTGACATAGTTATAACACGAAGGTTACTATTTTCAAAGATAACCACCAAGTAGATATTAACAACCTTTTAAAGAGTCAACGGTGCTATAGATGATCAGATATTCATATATTTGGACTTACATTCGGTTATTGCTACGAGTCATCTATGTAATGAACTTCTTCTTCTTCTTCTTCTCTCTTGTTTATTATTGTGAATGCATGGTGCTCTAAATTACATAAGCTAAGAAGATAAAGTTCTAATTAAATTACAAGAAGATAAATTACAAGAAGAAAAAGAACATAAGCTAAGAAGATAAAGTTCTAATTAGTCTATCAAAAATTACACATGCTGCTTCGTCTTCTTCTTCTTCAAGGGACCAAAAGCCTCTTTTGTGACCCATCTTGATGACGAATTCCACAATAACAAGAAACCAATAAGAAAAAAGGATCTCTCCGTTGTAATAATGATGCCCCACCATTAATTTCTCTTTTATGTTTTACCATCTCTTGTTTATGGAGAATTATTTATTGATTGTTAGAGAGATAATTTTCTGGCAGTTGAAACTTTTCATGGCCCACATTTACAATAGTTCTTCATTTAACGTTGTTCTCTTTAAAAATAATAAATGAATAGTTATATGATACACATTCAAGAATATAAAATGATATTAATTAGTAGAAGATGAAAATCTCCTTCTCATTAAGTAGAATGCAATTAAGTAATTCAAATTTATAACTAAGGAAACTTAATTATGATGTCATAACTAAAGAATTAAAGCGCAATCGTTGGTACTTAAATTTTTCCATTATATAATTAAATACCAAGGAAGATAGAAATATTTTAAGACAATTTTTACGTGCTTTGACTTGATAATCCAAATTGAAACGAAGCTATAATAATAAACACTCAACCTTTGATGATAAAAGAAGAGTTAAAAGTCCTGGAAGTCAAGCTCAACCTTTTACTATAAAAGAAGAGTTAAAGAATCCTGGAAGACAATTTAACAAAAGTGACATTGATTCAACTACATAAATGGAGTGGTCTCATCATAATTCTGATCTATGCGAATAAGTAAAAAACAAACAGTTCAAACTTCAATATTCTGGTAATTTAAGTGTTATCTAACCCTATAATCACATCAATATACCTTATAATTTTCACACAAATCTTCTTGTCTTGAGATTTTCTTCAAAGTTGAAAGGTCAAGTATTACAATAAATTAAAGACAAAAAGATTAAATAGGAACATTAATTTTGGAAGATGAAACATGTACATGTATCTATCTAAAGGGGTAATTATTTTCTTAAAATTTTTTGTATTAATTACTCACATGTATACCAGCTCAAAATATTATAGAAATTTTACTATTTACTATTTAATTAATTAAATTTTTAATAACGTTTGGATTTAGTATAAGGGTAAATTGGTAATCCAACTTTGCACTTTAGAGCCTCCTACTTGTAATGTGTGTGTGTATGTGTATGTGTATGTATGTGTATATATATGAGATAGGTGTGAGTGAGCCAGGGTGTAATGTTGTAGGTACGGACTTCTGTCTACCTTGGGAATTTCAATTTTGTGTAATTACAACTCTAAATGGAAGGGGAACCAAAAGGAGGGAGGGAGGGAGGGGGGGGGGGATACTATGAATGTTGTGGATGATGGTGTTATGTTTATTTCTGGAGCAACATTCTTGCCTTTTCTGATTGAATTAGGAGTTAGAAACTAAAGAAGAGATGCAAGCATGTATACAACAGTAATTTGGGTGGCAGTACTAAGTTTTTCTTTTTGATGTTGGAAAAGCTATTTTGAAGTTAACTTCTCTAATCTTATTTGGAAACAGGTTGCTGGATGTGGTTCACAGTGAGAGGCGATTATATTTAGTCTTTGAATATCTTGACTTGGATTTGAAGAAGCACATGGATTCATGTCCTGAATTCTCTAAGGATACCGGTGTTGTAAAAGTGAGTAAGATTAAGATCTATATTCCGTTGGAGGTTGCAATTATTGTTATATTTAGCTGCCTCATCTGTTGCATTACTTCTTTATGAAGTTTGTCATGCCTCCGTTTAGCAGTCTTAGTTGAAGAGGAAGGAGATGCACCGTTACACAGTAGTTAAAATATATGATTATCAGAGTATGTAATGTGGGAAAGTATCACCACCTAATGGTAAAAAGTTGTCGGGTTGAGAGGTTTCTTCTTCTTGGTTAATGAAGTAATATCTTCAATTTTGCAGTCGTTTGTGTATCAAATGCTCCGTGGTCTTGCTTATTGTCATTCTCGTAGAGTTCTCCACAGAGATCTAAAGCCTCAGAATTTGCTGATAGATCCACGCACCAATGTGTTAAAGCTTGCAGATTTTGGATTGGGTAGAGCATTTGGTATTCCTGTTAGAACTTTTACTCATGAGGTATGTACATATGTTCCAGCTCTATGAAACAAAATTACCAAACCAGCCTGTATTAACATTGTCTCATGTTGTTCCATTTCAAACTTGACCAGAAAGTAGTTACTATGAGCAGAGACTGTTGTCACTTCTGATGCCTCTCTTTAACATCTGGTATCCTGTCTAAATGAACAACCTTTTTCCTGCTTAAGTTTTCTGTTTGGCTGAAAAATTAAAATGATTGGATTATCATGTCTGTGTCTCATTGATTATAAAAACAGATACTCTGTTCATTTTTTGTTTTCTAGCATGTCGTCGACCCTTTTGAGCTTGTTTCTTTTCATTTCCAACAGTAGACTTCATTGTTTCAGGTGGTGACATTATGGTACAGGGCACCAGAAATACTGCTTGGATCAAGGCACTACTCTACTCCGGTTGATGTGTGGTCGGCTGGTTGCATATTTGCCGAGATGGTTAACCAGCAGCCCCTTTTTCCTGGTGACTCAGAGATTGATGAACTTTTCAGCATTTTCAGGTGTTAACATGCATAGCCAGTCCTTTAGTGAATGCTTTGTTACTTCTTAAAGTGAACATACTCGCTATTTGTTTTGACTTTTTGTAGGAAGTAATTTTATTATCTCCTTATGACCTGTCGTCCTCCTTGTCGATCATTCCAAATTCCATTTGAAAGAAAGTCATTTTTATTCAATGGTTGTTCATGGATGGGTTGAGTGGCCGCTGTTATGACACAGACCAAAATTAGAATTAAGAAAGAGGCTTAGGAGGGGTTTGATTAAATTTTAAAGGCTTGAAAGTTCTGAACTCTTCATGCTGAAAGACATACAAGTCAATCAATTACTAATATTTATAATCAACTCTCTCTCTGTATGGGGTTGTTAGGTTGTGAGAAGGTATTAAGATTGAGTTTGTAGTACAGTTTATGACTCTTTTCCTCTCTATTATTAAATCTTTTCCTTATTGTCATGATTCTCTACTATTTCTGTATGAAGAGTGGTGGGTACTCCAAATGAGAATACATGGCCTGGAGTGACTTCTTTGCCTGATTATAAATCTTCATTTCCAAAATGGAGTCCTAAGGTAATTTAGAGTTTAATTATTTTTCTCTTTTTTTCCACCTTTAGAACTAGTCTGATTCTCTTGCCAACATTATTGCATTTCTAGAGAATGCTGAATTCAAGTTCTTTACCTTGCAGGATCTGGCAACTTTAGTCCCGAATCTTGATACTGCAGGATTTGATCTCCTTGGTGTAAGTTTGCTTTTCTAAATGATATATACATCTTGTGTGTAAGAAAGTTTTCTTGTATTCTGAATGAAACTCCAACCTTTCTGCCTGATTTTCTCTGAGAAAATCCGGTGAAATAGTTTTAGGTACTCACAGCTAGAATAATTATAACTATTCTGAATGACATTTGTGACATTGGTAGGGAAAAGAGACTTGAGTAAATAAATGTTGTCAGGGGAAAGGGAAGTTCCAAATTGCAGTGCTCATTCATATTCTTGTTTCAGTCACTTTAGCGTAGGTCTTTTTGTTCCCTTCTGCTCTTTGTATTTGTTATTTTTTAACTTATACTTGGATATCACCTATTGGGGCCTAGAACTGTTTGGTTGCAGTTGCTTGTATGCAAATCATTGTGTTGCTGTTTCGCAGATCATATGAAGGATTATATAGTGCCTTCATCCGCAACAAATAGGTGTTTTATACAATTATATGCATAGGGGTTTCAATCTTATCTTTAAATCCATGGCCTCGTTACTTTCAGAAAATGCTCTGCTTGGACCCCAGCAAGAGAATCACTGCCAAAAGTGCCCTTGAACATGAGTATTTCAAGGATATTGGCCGTGTTCGATGACTCTTTGCATCTTCATCAACAACGTGAGCACAACTTGGTATGTTAACTACTAGGTTATCTTAACACAGCATTCATAGATATCTCTTGTTCCAGCTTTTTCATCACAATATGTGTTAATAGTTTTGGTTCTATCTTAGGTTCATTAGCATTCATACTTCTGCAAGGACTCGCTGAATTACTGGTCATTGCTGTGCGTTTCAATTTTTTTGCGTAGCTTGATACTGGCATTGAAGAACGAGATGATGATCCGCATAGTCAGTTATACATGATTACTATTCCTGGAGGAATGCAGGCTACAGTTCAGGTTTACCAAGTTATGTTTTGATACTGTATGAATTTTTTTTTCTTGGTCTGACAATAGAGAGTCTGGCCTCTCAATATTCAGGACTCTCCAAAAACTTCTGCTATTTTGATAGGAAAATCATGGAAGGCTAAAATAGTTGATCATAGCAATTAGCTCGTGCTATTTTGTTCCCCATGAATTTTAATTAAATGATTGTGTCTCGTCTCTTCATCTCTATTTTTCCTTTCGTTTATAATCCTGCCGAGGCCCGAGGGTCTTATCATAACCGCCCCTGGACCCTGAAAAGGTGGGGTTAAGATCTAAGTACCTCTTACCCTCCCCAGATCTCACTTGTGCAACTATACCAGTATGATGTTTGTTGTAAATATGAAAACTGAAATTTATTTAAATTTCTATTTTCATAGGTTTAACTAAGAGAAACAACGTTTACACCAACTCAGTTGATGCAAACATGTGTTTTTTTATACAAACTATTATCACTTGACCTTGGTTAAGTGACATTTATTCTTTAGTTCTCAACTGCTAAGGTTTAATTGTTTGATTTGTTTTAAACACTGAATGTGGGTGGACAAGTATTTACGACACTGTCATGGAGGCCTGAGGGTGTCAATTATTATTTATTTTTCTGGAAATAGAAGACAGAAATAGATGTTCTATTGAAAACATGAACTTTGCATTAATAAGCTTTGACAGGTTTTATACAACAGAGTGGCAAATACATTTTTTTAAATGCCATATAGTTATTATTATTTCAAGATAAGAATATTTATATATGGTACAATATCCAACTATCCTTCATTGGATATATATATCAGCTAGTTGAAGGAAGGTCATGATGATGGGCTTGTTCACTTCGAATCTGATGCTTGCTTTCAACATCAGTTAAGCTTATCTTTCCATCTACAGAGTTCAAATGGTAAACAAAAAATGAGCCATAAACATCACATACTACATGTATGGGGACAGATTCAAGATTCCAAAATATTATTAGCAAAATACCATTGGATTCATCAAGTGGGTGCTAAATTATTTCTCGTTGTGGTAAATTTAATCGTCATTTCAGAAAAATCAGAAGTATGCATTACCTTCTTTTTTTTCAGATTTTATTTTACCGGTCTAATTAGTGGAGTGTTGATTAAAAGACACTAAGAACTTGCTAGCTAGCACACGGGTTTTTCAGCCTTGAGCCTCCAAATGAGACACTTAAAAGAGATAGAAGGTAGTTAAGGTGTTATAAAAAAAATTAAATTAAGGCTGTTATATATGTTTATTGAGGTGATTGTTTTTTAAATGACAGATAATATAGATTAGAGATTGTCCTACAGGACCTTCTTATAACAAAATTTTATAATGGTCTAGTTTTTTTGGGAACTTTTCATGTTGTATTATATCATATGTTCTCTATAGTAGCACTTCGTCGTAGCAACTAGAAAACATTTGAGCAAACAACATTGTTACGGAGAGATTGAATTTGTATGTTTTAGAGAGTTGGAGAGAGAGACCTGAAAGTAAGTCTCAAGCTTAGTCTTTAGAGTAGCATACTCTTGCTTCACTCCTTGGAAAATGTTTCTGCACCTGCAAAATTGGTCATTTAAGAAAAATTGCACATTTAATTTTCAAATATCTATTGGTTTAGAGAAGAAGACAATTACCCGTCTATATTTTTTGCATTACAGTATTCCTGAAACTGAGAACATTGTCTTTTTACTCTTCTGGCACCGATGCTGCAACAAAAGTTCTAATATTAATATTGTAATTCATGTAGTAAATGTTGTTTCTTTCACGTTGTTTATCTTATTATCTTGTTGTTGTTACTTGCTTCATTTTCTCATGTTCCTGAGTCGAGGGTTTACTAGAAATAACCTTCCAATCCTCAGAGATTTGAGGTGAAAAATGAAAATCGCTAGAAAATCTAAAATTTAATTGGTTATTCAACCTACTCAATAATTGCTTTTTCATTATTCACTTTTGTAGTTTGACTGTATTCAAGGGAATTTCCAAATGTGGACCCAAATATATTCAAAATACTTTCTATTTCTTTTGTTAATTGTTACTCTTTGAAAAGGTCACTCAAAATGTTTCCAAGTTGAGGTATGGTTTCATACACTTGACCTTCTTCAAATTTCATTCATAAAATTACGTTGGGTATGTTATTTTTGTTGTATAGTGTAATTTAACATGTTGCTTATTTCAGATTATTAATCAATATTACTAAAAAATGTGTGATTACGTTTTAGGTAATCTCATCATATAAATATTTTTTGCATCGTCAATAGATGTGTTCTTGTGAAGTTGGATATGATACCTTGAGCTGCTACCCTTGAATTGGTACATCATATTATCCAGCCTAGCAAAATCATAGGGTCCATTTTCCCTGCATAGAACAAAAGAAAAACAATATTAATTTTATCGAGTAGTAATTAAAATTTTCTAATCGCATGATGTATACATTTGTAAATCATGTAGAAAAATGACTCTGGAAGAAATAGAGTATTTATTAAATTGCGTGAGAAAATGAGTTTTTTGTTATTTTTTATATGATGCTATATTGATATTATTATAAGGTGAGTTTCTTAAATGTCTCGTATATATTTGTTTATATATATGACAATTTTATACGTGTGATGGGTGAATAACTCTTTTCGAAAAAATATGATTTTTTTGTGGCGAATTCTTTAGTCCTCTATAAGGGGGTGACTACACTTGATTGAATGTTAGAACTAATATTCATGTTTATGATATTAATACATAATTTTGTAACAGAAAATACTTTATTCTTACAATGCAAGTTCAATATTTCGAACATATCTAGCTGAATCTGTGTAAAACAACTTGACAACTTCTTCAACAAAGTTAGGGTTTGCATCATCTTGCAACTCTTCAAGATGAATAAATTGTTCATCAAGGTATCCCTGCATATAAATCAATCAAACATTATTTCCTAGGATGCTCATTACACCTTACACGAATTTCATATCAAAACGAGAGAAGAAAGTTAGGGATCTTATAAGAATGAGTTCAGAATTAATTGTTGTGAGTTAATATTCAGGGATAAAAATCGAACCAATGTGGACCTAAGGCCAAAGTAGACAATATTTTAATAGTTCGACCACCATTATAGATGATATCAGAGTAGGACTCTTAAGGGGTGTGTGTATGTGACGCTTATGACGGGAGGCAAACCTCTAAAGAAGGAGTGCACATTACACCTTAGGCGAATTTTACATTGAAATGGAGGAGATGTGAATGGAAAAAGAAAGTTAGGAACCTTATACGAATGTCTTTTGACCGTAAACAAAGGAACAAGTTAGTGTTGGTCTAGAACCAAAATAAATAATACTTTAACAATTGGATTTCCTATAGAATAATTTGTGAAATTTCCTATATTAAGAGATACATAATTATATGTAACCAAATAAATTAAATAAAAATATGACCTGATCCAAGAGGCTTCTCTTCATGTAAGCAGCTTGGCGTTTCTTTTGATTCTCCATTTTTTAAAAAACCTTAAAAAGGAATGAAAAATTGAATATTGTAAACAAAAATATAATATCTTTGAAAAATACAAAGGATTATAACATGCTATTTCTAAAGGCTAGAATTGTCTGTATATATAGGGGGGAAGTGAGAATTCAAAGAAGAAAAAAGATTTGATAAAATGGTCCAAATCACATGATCCTTTTTCTTTCTTTTCTTGGACCAAAATCACATTACTCAACTAAAATTAAACAAACAACAGCATACCCCGAGTTAAAAAGTAGGATCTCGAGATTATAAAATGTACGTATATAAATGTTATCCTTATCTCATAAAGATAAAGATCTGATTTTCAATAAATTCTTAATTTAAATAAAGCATTGCCAAAATTGAACAAGAAAAACTAAAAATTCAGCTACAATTATTTATAAATCTCCATAAGTCATAAAAACTAAGAAGTTAGTAACACATAGGCAACAAATAACTGGGGTGTTGTGTTCACTAATAAGCTTACGCCCCTTTATTATATTCGTTTCAAGTTTGATTCTTCACTTAGATTTATTATCATTATTCAAAATGAACTCCTCGATGGTTCCACTCTCTACTTTATTCGTAATCGAGTTAAAAAACCTTTTCAAAATTATTCTTTTACTATGTTATCGCCGACAATCAACTATCGTAAATAGGATAGCACAAAGATCGGGAATTAGATAGAAGGTTAGTAGCTAGGTTGTCAAACGTTTCTCTCTTTCACATAAGAGAGCAGAGTTCTAGCTTCGAACATCTTATTTGTTCCGATCCTCTTCTCCTTTTCTTTTACTATTTTGTAGTGTTTTAAAAGGTGGGAATGTGAAGCGAGACGTTTTATGCAATATGAGGTGAGACGTAATCTCTTAAACACGGGACGTAAGTCTTATATCTCTACGGGGCATAATCTCAGGTATTTTCAATTTTAGAATTTTATTACTAAGAAAATAAGGAAAAGTAAAACTTTCTGTTATTTTACAAATAACTTATAATATATAGAAAAATTATTATAATTTTTATTTGAATAAAAAAGTATTAATAATCAATGATGAAGAAAAAAATATAACAATTACTATTTGAGAAATATCATTACACCAATTTTAAAAAATATGATTTAAAGCAAAAAAGGTATTTTAAAAAAAAAACTTAATTTTAAGCTCGGAGCTTACACCCTATGGATCTATGTCTTTGATTTGTGCTTCGAAGCGTTTTTGGTACATCTCACTCTGAGACTTGTCCCAAAATATGTTTTTAAAAACACTGATATTTTACACAGACTCATAAAGCTTCTTTTAACCTTGTATTTTCCATATTTTTTTGAATTTTAATTCTACGTACACTTTTTCCTCCTCAAAACCTTATTTATGGAATCACATTGAATATGACGATTGAAAAGTTTAGTTCTCAATATTTTCGAACTTTCATTTTCCAGTCTATTAATCTCCTCTTTATTTATATACCTTCACATATTCTATGATTTAGACAAGTGAAAGTAATGGGACATCAAGATCAAGTTGACGAATCTTTTACCAGTAAATGAATACTTTTTTGGAAATATTGATACATAAGTTGTGGTCACACTAATAATATATGTCAACCATGATGTCATATGAATTTTAATTATTTGAAGAAAATTATCATGATCTAGCATACACATGCTATGCATTCCTAAAAAACAGTATATAATATAATGATGAAAAAAGATCTTTCACATTGAATATAATATCGTCTATTAGTTTGATTCATGGAAAAAGAGTATATCTAAACTTAAAAATCATCAATAACCAGTAAGACTAAAGAATTTTAACTTTATTTATAATAAAATGTTTATGCATCTCATTTATTCCTTTAATTTAATGTATGTTTTATTTGTACTAACTAGTATAGTACTATACTTGTATACAAG